TTTTGCCGTCAAAGTAATGACTTCGTTGCCGCCGAAAAATCTGGCTCATCAAAAGGAGTACGGAATAAAAGCTATTTTAAAATTATAACCCTTCAAAAAACACAGCAGCGAGGGCAGGGCCACAAAAAAGCAACGAAAAATTCATAAAGTATATGAAGAATATATGGAGAGAGTGTGAAAAAAAGCGGAAAATCCAGTTGTAAAAAATACTAGTGGACTGAGTACAAAATTAACACGAGAAAAACGTTTGGTGGGGCAAAACAAAAAAGAAAAAAACCCGGCTAGAAATTGCAATTTAATTAATGAAATGCATCGCAGACTGCGAAAATATGCAAGGCAGATAGGCAACTGTAGGGGGGGAAATGCAAATAGCCGCAAAATTGGGGCCTGAGCTGCGGAAGAAGGAAAGTGAAAATTGCACAGCCGCGCCAATGGGGAAAATTACAAGAAAACCAAATTAACCAAATTAGCAAGCTGTAAATTCAGCTCCGCGCCTTTTCTCCATCTTCCTGCCAGCAGCTGCAGTGCGAGGCAAATTAATAAAGTTTCACATTATTAGAGGAGTTTTTGCCCGGCAAAGATGCCGCTTTGCTACGTCATTTTCCACTTCCCAGTTCCCATTTCCCATTTTCCAGTTCCCATTTTCCATTTTCCATTTCCCAGCCAGTTGCGTCTGCCTCATTTCGGTGCGCTGTACTCTTCCGCCGGCCAAATTTAATTCTTCTCGTAGTTTTAAGCGGGCCAAAGTTTACTTTTTCTGTTTTGAGTGTGTTATGGGCCCTAAGTAAGTTGGCCAACTTGGATATTTTTCGCTCTTCGCTTAAATTATATGCGCAAGTTTGGCCAACAACTTTCGGGGCGATGCGAGCAAGTTTCGCTTAAATTTATCTTCCGTTTCCTTTGTCGCTAAAAGCGGCACATATAGCGAACTTATGTGCTGTGGCACTATGGCGGTGGAATCAGTAGTAGTCCTTAAAGAATCATAGGGTGAATTTAGGCCCAAGGGTGAAGTAAGCCAGAAGCAACCAACAGGTAAATAAATATGCATTTTATATAGCTCTCCATCTAATAGTTTCTGTTAGCTGATGGCTCTATTAACTTGGCTGCTGCTGTGGGCTTGAATTCCTGCATATACGGACACCGCATTACGTTGACAGTCCGCAAAGCAAGATGCGGCAAAAAACTAAAGCGAAAATGAACAACACAGAGCAAATCCTGGTCACAGGACCTACACACACACGCACACACACACACTCACTGGCAGGCAGGACGCTGAATTCACAACGCGTCGTACACGCAATTGACCTAATTTCGCCCCTCGAATCCTGCCAGCCTCGAATCCTTGGAAACTGGGAACCTCGTGTCCCGCCACGAGTTATTTCCTACTCGACGTCGCGGTAATGGTCGCCGTTTAGCTGCGGGTCCTGGTTTGCCGCCAGGATGCGGCCAGGATGTGTCGCGATGTGCGGCAGGATGTGCAGCTCGCCACCTCGCAGGATGCACTTTACCCAATATTGTATTTCCCGCTTATATTTTTCCATTTTTTCGCCTGTCTGTGCGAGCTCGTTTCAAAAATTCATGGCAGCTTTTCAAGGGGTCTAGTCCTGGTGGTTCTGGTGGTGCTGGCGGTTCTGGTGGTCCAAGTCGCAAAAATATTTTAGTACCTGTGTGTGGTATGTTTTGTTTTATTTTTATTTTTATGCCGTGCTTTACATAATTAAGTTCTTGTCGATGGCAAAGTTTTTGACATTCACTCATACGAGCAGGCAACTTTTGGCTGCTGCAAATTCTGCACATGGCTCGAAATTAATTTCATGGCCCCAACTTGGCAACAGCAAGGACACACAGCCAGCCCAGAAACCAACAGCCAACACATGTTTTTAGAACGTGTTAATTAGGTGAATTTCTGAGATGAATTCGCAGCACACCTTCCAAATCAAGAGTGCACTCGAAGAGGAAGTGAGCAGGCCAAAAAAGAAAATCAAAATGAAAATGAAAATGCCAGCGTTGCAAGAACCTTGAACTAGTGGCAAATTGCTAACAAGGTCGCCAAAGTTTCCACAGGTGGCGACTTTAATTGGCAGGGCCCTTCAATCAAGCCAACTTTAATTGGCAAATGATGAAACTATTCATATGCAAATCGTACTAAATGAAGGCATAGTTATTTAGCCTATTACGAGCAGCATAAAGTTGTATTCCCAACTAACTATAAGTTGTGTTTTGGGCTCTAACTATGCCAGAGCAATTGAATGGGGAGCCCAAGTGAAATGAATGCGAATTAATGCCCTAATCAAGCCCAAGAACTCGGCAAAATTGCAGAGGCGTTCATATTGATTTATAAATTGTGCACATTCCGCTGCCATCAGCAGCAAACAAACTTCCGATGGGCCAACTTTCAGGGGCTTTCGAGGTTCCAAGGGGCCAACTATCCCACTATCCAACTATCTGTATCTAGAGTCCCAAAGGCCGCCCCTCAAGGCCGTTCTAATTGCATTTAATTAGCTGCCACGATGGCCTCATTTCGCCGCTGTTCTTGCTGCTAACGCTGAAAAGTTGACCGACATAAATTTCATTAATTAGTTGAAAATTTGGCCAGCGCTTTGCAGGCAACAATTTGTGAAGATTTGTTAACGCGGCCCGGTCATTTGCCACTGGACCTTTTAGGCCATTAAACAAAGGTATTTACGAACGGCAGGTCAGTAAGTCAGCTCAAAATGAGCACTTGTGTGGGAAAACTTGGCTGCTCAAGATCAACCGCAAAGTGGCGGCCGAATATGAAAACTCTTAGCCGAAACATTTGAAAAGTTTACCCTGTGAAACTTGGCCAACTTTAAGCGGCGATGATAAACAAACAAGTCGTCTAATGTTCCACTTTCTCGACAGGATTTCCCAGACATAAAGCTCGGCGATTCTGGATGGGGATTGCGTTTGGGATTGAAAGGAAACTCGTTGGCCATTGACAAATTCGGGACTGGGGGATAAATCAATTGAAAATATTAATGAATTATTTATGAGATAAGGCGGCGGGCAAATAAAACCGGAATAGGAAATAAAACGAGTCGGAGCAACGGCAAAGCCAATGCGAATCCCCCCGAGTGCAAACCGCAAGAGGAAATAGAAGAAAAAAGGAAAAATATTGGAAAAGCGAAGAAAAACAAGGAAAAACAAAGAAAAACCGAAACCGAAACCAAAACCAAAACCAAAGCTGAAAAAGAACGAACTGTAGAAAAATTACGCTGGAGACTAATAAAACAAGATTATTGCGGTAGAACCGCAGACAATTGGCACGGCAGGAGGGGAAGCACGGGGGCTTTGGGCCCAAAACTAGACAATGAGCCAGGCCATAAATCAGCAGCCGCAGAACGCAGACAACTGCAGTCGGAAAAGTGTGCGATGCTGGCTGGGAAAGCTCAGCCAGCTCAGCAAGCTCGCACGCATTTAAGCAGTTTTCCCAGCTCTATGGTGCGGCAGATAATTATGCCAATATGGGCGGACAATTCGAGCGGAAAAGCGGCAGACAGCCCGGAAAACTCGCCGTGTAAATATTAAACACCGAGCAGCTTCGCCACAGAGAATGCAATCAAAAGCTGGCTAGAAATGTGTCCGGAATTCAATTTCATTTGACACGTCCAAGCAAATGCAAAAAGCAGTGAAAATTGCCGGCAGCCGAGCAAAATCAGTTGCCATCACAATCACTCACTCTCATTTGGGGGGAAAAGTGTCGAATATTCGAAACAACAGAAACACCTGAATAGTGGAAATTTGATGGCAAAATTAATTAGAACGCATACTAACTGGAGGCAGCCAGAATTCACTCAATTATACTGCACACATTTTATTGCTTTCGAGCTGAAATTAATTATAAATTTATTATTGGCTGAAGACAAACATATTACTGAGGTAAATTACGCTGGTAACGAGCAAATATTTGCCTTTCTTAAATTGAACATTTGATTGCACAAATTAATAAGGGATTTCACCTTAAACTTAATTAATGCTATATTCAAAATATAAACAGAAATTAAATCCGTACCCTGATGACTGTTTTTATCGTTAAATATTTGCATTTCCCCCATTTAACATGGCCACCATACAAGCGATTTGTAATCAAAAGTTGTTAAATATTTATTGAGCACTTAGACCAATTCAGCGCAACAATTCATTACCTTATTATAATGAATAATAATTATTATTGCTGGGCGCAAAACAGCAAACAACTTTCATGTCAGCGATTGCAAATAGAAAGTGTGCGGTATAATGCAACTCAACCGCAGATCGCGGAAAACTCGACTCATATGGCGCCGTAAGTGGAAAAACCCATCACTCACCGAGGGATTTTCACGCTCGAAAATTAATTATTAACAAATTGCTCAGCATGAAGGCGAAACAAATGAATGGCTCGCTCGTGTTATTGTTATTACGGCTGTTGCAGTTGCAGATGCGGCAGATGCTGCTGCCTCTCGCGTCGTTAGCAATTTTCTGCATTATGCATTAAATGCAATTTGAACTATTAAAAGCATACTTTTAGCACACTTTGCAGTGGGCGTTTGGCGTTTGGCGCTCGCCGCCTGGGGGCGTGGCCCGCAGCTAAATGGACGTCGGCCATTTCAGCTATTTTCCACGCACGTAAACATAATTTGCATTGCTCGGAAATATTATGGCAGCAGCTAAAACTATGCAGCGCAGCATTTTCCCGCTTTTCCGCTGCTTTTCCCGCTCCCTTGCTGCAAAACCGATGGCATAAAGTTCAAGTAGCACAGAGATGACCCTTGGATTTTAGCTAGCTGTATGCCAGATTGTTTAGCTTCTGTTATAATTAAAAATAAAAAGGAAAAACTCAAAATATTTACCTAGCTACAACTAATTCCGAATACTTGCGCATAATGTGTACATTTCCCTGGCTAGCTTGGAAATTTCTGCAGCATTTTGGCCGGCGAAAGTGCAGCCAGGTCAAAGGGCAAAAGAAGTGGCAGATCTGCTGAAAGGGCTGGAGCACTTACCGTTACAGAATGGCCAGAGTAGCGATTGTTGTTGCTGCTGCATTATGCTAACAACTAACGCCATTATTATAATAACTGCTCGCGTCGTCGCCGCTGCCCTTGTTGTTGTCACTGCTGCTGTTGCTGCCACCGATGTTGTTGCCACTGATGTTGCTGCTGCTGCTGCTGCTGCTGCTGCTGCGGGGACGTCGACATCAGCAGCATGGCCTGGGCTACGCGATTCGATGATGTCGACGTCGTCGGCGCCGCTGCGACGCAAAAATCCGCATAAATTTATATTGCAAATTTGTTTCGCCGCCCGTGGGTCCTGTTGGTCCTGTTGGTCCTGGCGGCGCTGCTGGTGCTGTTGGTGCTGCTCCTTGTGTTGTTTAACAATAACTATTGCCGCAGGCATCCAGCGAGATTTAATAGTTTTTGCCTGTCGTTGAGTTTTATTTGCCAGTTTTCAGCTGATTTTTCTTGTTGCTGCATTTAAGTGCTGATGCGGCTGCTGCTGCTGTTGTTGCTGCCGCTGTTGTTGCTGCCACTGATGTTGCTGCTGCTGCTTTCGTTGCTGCTGCTGCGGCCGTCGTTGTCGACTTGAGCAGCATAGTGCGCCATTCGCTCCTGCCGCTAATATATATATTTTTATGTTTTATGCTGGCTTAAACTTTTACTTTTGCTGGCCGTCAATGAAATATTTGCGCTAAGCGGACAAGAGCAACATTGCTGGTAGTGTTTTTATGGCTCAGCTGCCGCTTTCGGTTTTATCTCGGTTCACTTTGGCTTTACCTCTGTTTTGCTTCACTGCACTGCAAATATCAGCAATGAAGCAATCACTTTCTGTTGTTCAAACCCCGCAGCAACTTGGCCGAAATGGAGGCAGAAAGTGTGGGTATCTGGGGGAAAACGCTCGGATTGAGTGGCTTGTGTGTGTGAAATAGAGTTAGAGTGTAAACTGTACTGCCGTTTAATGGGTACTGCCGTAATAGAGATATCCTGCTCTTGTGCAGGATTGAAAATGTTTCCATTCGAAAGTTGCAAGTAGAAAAAGTAAGAAGTGGGAGCATTGGAAATGCTAGTTTTTGTTGATTTAAGCAGCTTCTGTTTTAATTGCCAGCTTTCCTTATTGTTTCTACTTGGGCTTAAATACTTAAGGCTTGCTGGTTTAGAAATACACATGCTGTTTTAAGACAAAAGTGGTTTTCTGGGTAAATAAAGTAAAAAGTGATTGGCTGCCTTTGATTGCTTCTCTATTTTAGCAAAGACCCGGCAGAAATACTTATTATTTAAGCAATAAAATTGTGCTAATCCATTTGTTGCTCTGCACGTAATGCGCCAACTTTCTAGATAGCCTATTCAATTTAATTATCTGCCTCGTGGTCTAAGAGACCCTACACTTTAATGGGTATTTTCGTAAGCCGCCTGTTGCTCGGCCCATCAACACTTTTGCTTTCTATGGTTTCGCTCGGCGAGTGGGAAAGTTTCCAGCTTTCAGTTTGCCATTTTAGCTGCCACTTTCGCCGGCACTCCAGTCTACTCCACTTGGCCCCCAAAAAGGACCTCTGCCCACCAGGTCCTTCGTCTGGCTGCCACCCATTTCGCTGGTCTCTTCGCCAGTTTCCTTTTGCACATCAGTTTACGTGGCCATTTCTATCTCTCGCCCCCACGGGCTCTCTTGGCCATTTGCTGTTAGTCTAATTTAATTGCATTCGTGGCTCGTTTTGTTACGTATACGCAGGGTGGGCTGGAGTGGAAAATCCATTGAGTTTGCAGTGTGCAGTGTGCAGTGTGCAACGCCCTGACCTGTCCGTGTCCTTGCCTCTGCTCTGCATTCTTTTGTCAATGTCCTTAATCCTTATCAGTTGCCAACAAAACAACGACAAAAAAAGAAAACAAAACAAAGCTGACTAGCAAACAAGTGCAAAAAATCGGCAGAACAAACAGTGCAAAAAAGCGAATGGCAAACACCGAGGTCTTGCCTTATTTTCCTGCTGACCCTGTTTTGCCCCTGCGCCGCCACTTTCACTTTTATATTCGGGTGCAAGGTAAATGATTTATTATCGAGTGGCGGCCCAGCGGCGATTGCGGTCTTTGCGGCCATTCTTTAAACAAACCATCGTAATTAATGATACAGAAAATGAAATTCAGCACACACAAAACTTCGCCGCAGATTTATTGCCTTGCACTTGAACCGAACAATAAATAAATAGTTCTAGCATTTGGATGCGGAGGTGGATTCGCAGGGGCGGCATTGCGGGTGGGGGCGTGGCAGGAAACGAATGACTCTGGCTTGTCTGCTGATTAGCCAAGTGTGTGTTGTGTTGGCCAGTAGCGAGCGCTTAAGCTCGAATAGCTGGATTAATTAGAAAATAAAATGAGTGGGAATGGGTGGCAATAAACAATACTTGTAAGGAAATACATAGAATAAGTTTCTAATTTACAAACAATATTGAGAAATAAATGCAGTGTTCCCAGGACCAAATTCCCCACCCAAAGTGATGAAGAAGAGAAAAGGGAAGAGCTCCAAAAAACTTCATACATTTTTAAGCGTATAAGAGTATAGGGCTGGGAAGAGGCAAAATAAAATAATTAAAAAGTTTGTGATGAGAAGATTAAACTTTCCCTTAAACGATGTACTTAAAAAAAATGGGACTCAAGATCTCGTTAGGTTTGCTCGTGATTAAAACCATTTTCCTATGAAATTCGAGGTATGATATCAAATATTTATTTACATAGGTAACGTGGCACCAATGAAAAAGTTTCCAATGACAAAGGGAAGCATGACCCGCAAATAATTTTCTGCTCCTCTCACATTTTGCAGCTTGGCATTAACATTCGCACGTAAAATGAACTTTAATCAGACGCACAGGAAACCCCGGCAAACCAATCAATAAAATGCCCTTTAATAATGTCGAAAAGAAGACCCGTCCGGGCAGTCATAAAAAAGCGTTCCAAAAACGATATGAAATATGCTTCATAAAGATTAAAACCTGTTCTTTCTCCCTTGGCCTGCGGCAACAGATGCAGCGGAATGTGGCAGGACACATGTGCGGAGGCAAGCAGCAAGCCCAGAACGACTAAACGTGAGTCCTGGCAACATTTTATTATCCTAGCATGCCAGCACGGACCACAAAGTGCGGCCAACAGCTTGGGAAGCCTTTCGCAGGCCACCTATGAGTTTGCTAAGTCCTCTGGGTACACAGCAAGAAATCGGACAATACACCCGAATTGCTGTCACCAAAGTTGCTGATTGATGTTGACATGGTTCTCCGAATACATACATGTGCCCCAAATGAAATGTAATTCTAATGAATTATTTTTTAGGTAGTTATCTCCGCCTATGACTTTTCCCGTGTGTATGTCCCTGGCTAAGCGGCTTGGTCCAGGATCAAGAATGCTTCAGGATGGGTAGGTGGAAGGCAGGTCCAGGAGCAGGAACAAGGAGCAGAGAGCAAGAAGCTCCGGGCGGGATGTCTGTCAATAAGCATTGCTCCACAAGATGCCGTCTGTTATGTGTGCGTGTATTCGAGGCGCGTGCTTATGAATTATTAGCATAAACAATCACAAGGACTCGCACACACACACACACACATGCGAACACGACACACTATGTCCTGCAAGATTTCTGATTAAATGTAATGCGCTCAAAGCGCATTCAAAGCTGAATGAATTATTGATGCTCCCTTTTGGTCAGCCACGGTCATTAGCCGGCTAGCCAAAAAGTTGCCAAGACAGCCTTTGAAACTGGAAATGCCGCCCAACCGCCGACAATGGTGTTCATTATTCAGGATATGTCCTTGGGCGGGCGTTAAGCTTTCAATGTGATTAGGTGAGCCAAGTCCTTAGTTCGCCATAGTTTGTGTATACAAGTAAGCGTATAGATGTGTGGGTGGGTTCACACTCCATTAGAGTTGAAAATGCTGCCCGAAATTTCAGGCCAAATTTCTTGGGCTTAAATTCGTGCGGTTTGCTCAGACAACTTAAGGAACTTTTTTCGGGCCCCAAGGCGCCGGGGAAAAAAAGCATTTCCCTTTTCTACATTATTTATTCGACCCTTGACAGCCTTTTCATATATATTTCATACATTTTTATGCCTTTCTTCACATTGAAGAATTTTAATTTTCGGCGCGCCCAAGGACGAAGACAAGGAAAACTTTTTGGGCAAGAACAGGCAACCTAAGCCATCGAACGAGACCGGTGTCCTTGCTGCTCTTGATTGATTGGTGGCAGCCGGAACAAAAGTCCCTGCCAAAGTCAGGTGAATGTGAATAGTCAGGTGTCAATCGTAAGCCGGGCCACAGCAAGCAAGGACACAACAGGACACCTTTTTCCGACTTTTCCAGGATGTACGAGTATGGCAATGTAAATGAGACTTTGAGCCGTCGTCCTGATTTCAGTTCTGTGTCCTTTGCCGTTTTTAATTGGCTTATGAGTCAAGAGCCTTAAAATGACATTATTGCCAGAGGATTCTTTGTCTGCGTAATTGCTGAAGTGTGTTCAAAATGTGTTTAATTAAAAATGAAATTCAGCAAAGTCACAGAAGTGAAGTTCCGTGGAAGTTCCCATTTTTAGTACGCAAAGGGGTTTTCCGTTGCACTGAAAATGTGGCACGCTTTAAGGGCGACTTTAATTAGGACTTATGCACATAACTACAGTTGCTGCCAGTTGTACAACTTTCGAAAGCCGGCTAATCCATTGAAAACAAAAGCGCGAACCACTCGTTGGCCCCTCAAAATCCCAAGCACACAACTCCCACCAAACCCAACTCCCAACCAGGACCATCCAGACCAAACCACGCCAAACCCATCCAAACAAGCCAGTGCAGAACAAACTCGAGCACTACTCCTGCACTTGTACATGGCCAAAAGGGCTGGCATTAGAGCCATCAACGCGGCCCGATTGCATGTTTGGGCCACATTTTGGCCTAGCTCCACTGTACACAGGCTTACACACATGTGCACGGCGAGAAAATGCGTGGCGTATCTAATTGGGGATCTTAATGATTTATTTGATTTTTTATGCCACCATTTCCGCCGCCTTTTAAATCAGTTAATCTAATTTTGGCCTTTAGCATAAGCCTGCATGATTTACAATATTTATTTATGGCTTTTTTTATGCAATTACCAATCAATTCAATTAACAAAATAATGCAAACTCACATGCTGGACAATGGAAATCTTAATGTGATGTATTAAAGTAATATCATCTAATTTATTCAATTTGTGCTTCATGACAATCAGATAATGTAGCAATAGTGATTTAGTATAGTTTGTGGGCTTGTGTGTTATGACTTGTATATTTTGATTCGTTTATCTAGTTAATAAGTACTCCCCGCACATTAAAAATAAATACAAATAGTTTTGTTGAAATTCATTTTTAAAACTAATTTCCTCCAATATCTCAGCACATTCCGTCGAATGGCTAAAGCTATGCACCTTTTCATATACGCTATTATTTTTCCGCGTGCCTCATCTATCTCCTATAAAAAAGTAAATTGCTTGACGATTTTCGCGTCATTTTCCGACCTCACTTGGGGCATGAAACCAGGACCCTGCCCATCCTTCTATTTCCACGCCTGGCTGAGCATAAATCACACGAAGGACTAAAGTAGGAATATGTGTTCAGTGTTCAGTGCTCAGTGTTCGATGTTCGATGTTTGTTTTTGAGTGGGAATTCGGCACATTTTGCTGCATACTTTGGGGCGCCAAAGGGCTGCTTGCAATTGACAGTTTATTTATTCATTTTGACAGTTTTATGGACACGCACGAACGAATCGGCGATTAGGGGGCTTCATTTCATGGTTAATCCGTTACAAATGTCAACTGTCAAATGGGTGATTTTGTTTTTCAGCCACCCCGTGACATAATCCGAAAAATCCCCATAATGGGCATTCTTAAACAAGCCTAATTGCAGTTGCATGTTAAGTAGATTAAATATGCAAAATCCTAGTTTATACGGCTGACATTTGGCACAGTTGCTTATTGTTGTTGCTGTTTGCTGTTCTCCATCTGATATCTGCTATCTGTAATCTGTAATCTGCTGTTTGTTCGTTGTTATTGTTTCTCCAGTCTGCCAATTGACAATGACGTGCCATTGATGGGCGAAAGGAGCGGGAAAAGTTGCACACAATGTTTGGCGGGTGCTATGAGCCCACAACCACAACACAACATCGCACAATTGATGACAATCGACACTGTTCATGAATATTTAAATTTCTATTGTTGTTTCCCGCTTTGCACTCCACGGGGCCATTGAAAAGGCCGCCATTCCGGCGAATCTGCTCGTTAACGCACTTCAAAATTACGCCTTTACTTCGCTCGCCGGAAAAGTCGGAAAACACGGGGAAAACTCGAAAAACTCAAAAAACCGCCTGACCCACTCGATTTACCGTTGTGCGCGGAAAGGACTCGAGGTCGCGAGTGTGTGGCACTTCCGCAGCCCCTGGTTGCCGTCACAATACTGAGATCGGCGGCATGAACTATAGCGGCTACAGGCAAAGGCGAAGGTAAAAGCGAAGGTTTCCGAGCAAGGAAGCAAAAAAAAAACAAGAAAAACCGACTGGGACAACAACACGAACAGGACACGCACACACAGGCAAACAGCTGCACGCACACAGTCACGAGTCGGCAAAAGATTCTAAGGACCCCAACTCGCCGCACTCCGAATGTGTGTTAAAGCTTCGGAAAACCTGGGGAAGTGATTTCCCCCAAATATCCCTGCAGCTGAAAGTCAAAGGGCTATCGTGGGCATTCATTAACTTTTAACTTATTGGTAAAATATGTTTATTTCTACCCAAGAGCACTTTTAATAATTTTTTTTATGTCTTTGACATCAATTACTTATTAATATTTAATTGATTCTGTTTATCCAACTCATTCAGAGGCTTACTGCCAGCTTTAAATCTTCTATGCCTAACATTTTCTTCCCCTGCTTTAACCGCAAATTATCTGCACTGCTTTTTTTAGATCAACTGCAGAGGGATATCTTTCTTTAGTCCATCAAAGGATCTTTTAGCTTCTAAATAAAACCTACATGTGGGAAATGCTCCTTGTTAGGCTAAAATGCCCTTTTAGTACTTTTCCCTGCACTGCTTACAAGGACTCTCGGCCCAAACGGTACTTCTTTTAGTCTAAAAAAAATCCTTGCTGCGATTTCACTGCAGGAAATTTCCCTCAAGGAGGTTTACTGCTTTTATGAACCTCTTGTACTAAAAAATCCACAAATCCATAAAATCCCTTTATTATGTGCATAAAGTTACCCCTTCAGTTTTCGCTTCATTTAAAGAAACATTTCCCCAGGCGCTTACAATTTTTTGAACATTTAAATATGTTAAATAGATTTAAGTTTCTAAAATATATTAGGTCCAGTGTTTAGAAGCCACAATAGCACAATAATTTAATAATACATTTAAAGTTTTGCTTAATACTCTTATATTTGTTCAATGTTTTCAACCAATTAAAACCAATTTAACCCAAGTGTCACGGATTTAAAAATCGAAATAATTAATTACCGCGAATTTTCGATGAACTTGTTATGAATACGCTAATGCCAATATATCAGCTTTCCACGTATAATAGGCATAAGCCGCTCTTCATAATTTATAATCGATTGCATTTGGAGCTTAATCAATTAAAGCCACCAATTTGCAGACACCTCCTTCGTTCCGCAACCATTTTCCTGATTTCCCACCCCCACACCCACACCCATTTCCAGCACACCCCACCCCACCGCACCCACATTCCATTGACATTTAACGTTCGCAAGAGTGAAAGCCGCCGTCTATCTATCGGCTTTCTCTGCCCCTCACTTTCACTCAAGGTGAACTCAATTGAATTCTCAACATTTGCACATCAATTATTTCACAAGCAGCCAGTTTTTTTCTATGTCGCGGAAAAGAAACACACAGTGCAGCTGGGAAAAAATGAAAATAAATCCAAGCGTGGAAAAATCAGTCAGGCAAAAACTGCATTGCTCCTGCAGATCCTTTCTGCCTTCACCTGCGGCTATCCTTTTATTTCTTTTTTTTCTAGCCACCCGCATTGCAGATTCAATGTCAAAAATTTGACAAACTCAACAAGAAGCGAAAAGAAAAACACGGAACGGAACAAAAACACAGCAACTAGGAGCACTTTCCCAGGGATTTTCACTGACGAATTTGTGGCAGGTTCATAAATCCAAACAAGCAACAACTAACTAACAAGAAGAAGACAACTGGCGTGAAGAACAACAGCATTAAAAAATCAGCAAAAAAACGCAAAATATTGCACAGCAAAAAGGCATCAAAACTTCAAAGAATTTTTATTGACTTAACATTTGGAAAACCGCAAAATAACACAAGTGATTGTTTGTACTTTTCCCAGCTAAATGATAACATTTGTTTCTATGGTTTTTATACTTTTAAATATTTTATTTCTCCTGCATACCCATAGTATTTAAGTTAATTTAAATTTTCCCTTGGTGTTGCACACAATTGTGGTATTTTTGGCGGCAAAATAGAGAACTTGAGCTAGAAAAGCGAGAAAAAATGCCATACAAATCGAGAACTCGACACAAAAGTCGCTCTCAAAATTTATTCAGTCAGCGTCGAAGTTCATTTGAGTGTCATAAATCAGTTGGCCCCAGCAGAATCATAGCCACCCACCCAGAACCACCCATGTCGGGGAAAAGTCGGAAAATGTGTGAGGCTGGTGGGGGGAGCAGGGAAGGGGGGAATAGGGCTGGAAAGGGGAAGGGGAAGGGGCATATATAAATGACAACTTTGACTATTGGCTGCCATTGCACGTACAACAAACTGCAGCGTGGGCACGATTCAGCATCGTTGCCATGGCCCTCGCATATTTCCTTGCAGCGGAAAAGCAGGAAAGGCGTAGGAAAAGCGTAGGAAAAGCGTCGGCAAAGGAAAATATTCTCCAAATCGCACTGCAGCAGGAGCAGCAGCAGCAACAGCGGCAAGTGGAGCCAAATGTCATGAGAAATCTAGTCGGGCAGCCGGCACTCACAAAAACATTCCATCGCAGGGTGGCATGAATCGGAGGGGGAGGGGGAGGGGGTTGGGATTTTCCACCCAGACGGGGGGCAAACTTTTCCCCACCGACTCGCTGGAAAATTTCTTCGTTATAAATCAATTTGAATTGCGCGAGCAGCTTAAGCGACAAACGATTTGCAGACAGTCGGCCACCGAGAAACCAAAAAACCAGAACAATCCAACAAGAAAGGACTAAGGACCAAGGACCAAGGACCTAAGACCAAGGGAAAAAATAAGAGGAGCGCATTCGGCAAAGCAGAAAATGCTGTTTATTTAGGCAATTTGTTGGAAAAACAGCAGGAAGTGAAAATCCACCGAGGAGCCATTCGAACTGAGCTGGTGGTATTTACAAAAACTGGGATTATCACTGCTTAATAAGGCGCAAAATATATGCATTTTTTTAAAGAGCTGATACATGGAACCATATTAAAGCTTTCAACCCAAGTGGTAATTAAAAGTGGTAAATTCAATCAATCACAATTACATTCGAGTTCATAAATCGCGTTTAAGTGTGATGCAACTTTAATTTCAGCCCATCAATGAATTAATGAATTAATATTAACAATAAAGCAAACGTAATTAGGATAATATGTATGAATTTACTCTATTTTCCAGCATTTCCAATGATCCCACAGTGGAAAATGACGCCTTAAACTGCAAGCGGTTTGCATAAATTGTTTGCTAAAATATTTATCTCAGATGTCAAGTGTGTTTAAACCTTAAACTGACAAAATGAAAATGCAAATGTAAACGGAAATCCAGCGAAATCCCTGCCTAGCCCCAAGCACTTGCTTATGTTAAACAATCCACCAAAACTTGACATCAAATGTGTATGAGGATGGGGATGGTGATGGTGATGGGAATGGGATGCCCCTCCTCCAAAAACCCCATATATGTATGTACCATAAATGGCATATAGGGTATCTCGTTCAGCTGCTGCTGCAAATGAAGCGCTAAATCTGCAAGTGTCAAGCACAGGAGCTGCAACAGCAACATTTCCTCCTTTTTTATCCTTTGTAAGCATTTTATTTGGGTGCTGCTACTGCTGCTGCTGTGTGCCTAATTTTTTTGTTTTACTTAGTTTTGTTTGGGGCAGCAGCATTGTGCCGCATTTTGTTGCGGACGGGCCTAACCCATTTGCATGGACAAGGATGCGGGGATGGCGGCGATGCGGAGATGCCTCCATTTAACCCACTGAGCTCGTTTTCCAGCCGCCAAAAGCAACAGAACCGCACAAACCGGAAGTGAAACAATGTACAGCGCTTACACACATGCACACGCACACACGCACACACACACATATACATTTGGGTGCTGAAATGCTGAAAGGTAACCAAAAAAAAAAGACGAGAACAAAGTAAAATAATAAAAACACTTTTACACCTGGCGGCAACAGGGCAACCTAGAAAATTTGTTTGGGCTAATGTTCTCCTAATGCCGCGCTTTTCCCTAGTCCTCATCCACGAACAAACGAAACATTTGTTTGCGGAAATCATCAGCATCATCATCACTTCCGCCATGGGTTCTGCTCGCCCCAAGCCCCAAGGAGCTGCTCACGTGCGGGTGCCACTTTTTAGACGATTTCACTTCGGCTCCACCTGGCCAGACTGCCTCCTCCTGCTGCTCCTGCTGCTCCTGCTGCTCCCGCCTCAAAAGTGTCCTGTTTGCTTGGCGAGAGTTGTTTACCAGCTTAAGTTTGGGACCGGAGTCCGGAGGGTCTGTCCGAAGGTGTCGTTTCCATCGGGAGCAGCCAGTCAGTCCTTTCCTGGGCCACTGCCTTGATCACCTAAAGGGTCAAGCGTCGAGTGCCAATCTAGGAAATGCCTTCCAAACTAACCCTGCGGCATTCCATTTACACTTGGAAACGAAAAGTACTTACTTGTAATTGATTCATAAGAAAGCAAACGTCATTAGTTAAATGCCATAATGGCAGCTTGGTATATACATTTATATTTATCTGGCACAATCAGTTTAACTAAGCATTCCAAGCATTTTCCGGGCAACAAAACTATATTATGCAGTGCCAGTCCACCCAACAATTGCCAACTATTTCTTATCGAAATACTTGTGCGCTAATAAGCGAGTGGATGCCACTTCATTCCCCCCTTTTTCTCGCAGTTCACCTGGCCAACTTTGTGCTTACCTTTAACGCTTGCCTTGTCTTGACTTTGCAGTGAAAGTGGCTTGAAAGTTGTTGGCCAGCCGCAAAGTCGAAATTTGCTTCGGTTGCACGTGGCGTGTGTGGAATGTCCAGGATTCTGGACTACGACGGCATTTCCTCGAAAGTCGTACGTTTAACTTGACAAATTGCATCGAGAACAACACAAGTTGAGTTGTGGTTGCGCAGCGGGGCACACTGCGTATACGTAATGCTGTGTTGCTCCTCTGTTGACACTTGTCAATGCCTAATAAGCAGCTGTAACTCTTCCGGAAACC